TACGGTAGTATAAAATACCAGGATCTTCTAAAAAAACTTGATGCACTTGCATGGTACCGGGCAGCGGCAAAATATGTTTTGCAATATGTTCTGCCACTCGATCAATATCGTCGTCGTTTATAAAGTAGAGCTTAACTTTGCTAGAATCCTTTAAAGCTTCAAAGAATTGTAATGCATCTAAAATATCCTTGCCTGTAGCTACGATCTGATCTGCGGTTCGTTTGAGAAAACCACCTACACCGTCCGCCGCTCCCTTCCCATTTCCTGCCTCAAAAAATTCCACGTTACACGTTTAAATTTATATCTAAAAAAAATTCTGAAAATATAAGTAGAAAGTTTTGCTTTTGTCTGTACTGTGTAGCGGGTCCATCTGAAAAGAAATGGATAGTGCTGACTTGTGGTAAATTCATCTGAAAATGGAGTAGAATGGGATGTAAATGTGCCCAAATTGCTGGTGGTGTATGTAATGATACTTGCTTCCTTGAACCACCAAAGTGGTGTGACTGCACCTCTTCGAAATGCTTACAACTATAGTTCTCGCTGAAGTCGATATGCAATGCTACTTCATCATTTTCTAGACCGTCAATGCAAGCCCTGTAACATTTGTATTGGATTTTGATGTTGTAAATGTGGTGTTTCAATTGTTTGAGTGTATTTTCGAAAATAATGATCAGTTCTTCTACAGATTTTTCTACTCTTTAACATTCTTAAATACTTTCACTTGTTTACCAGATTTTTTAACTATCTCCGATTTTCTTACCCACTGCGAAAATCAGATAGAATCACTTTTTTTCATTTCATCAATAATATACTTAATTTTCTTTGATTTACATTTTAGACATATACTTGTCATGCAATCAACCGAGTTCGAAGAACAAACTGTTTCTTCTACTACAGTACCCATATTGTATATTTTAATTATTTTTCTATTATACAAAGCATTTATCATATATTGAGCGTTTGTGTGAAGTTTGCATAGGCAGGTATCCCTTCCATCAATAGAAGGTGGCTTTACAAAAAAGGCATATGTTTAGCAAAATAGCTGTAAGAACATTTTAGCATACTATTCTCTTTTTTAAAAGATTCATAAAGATGTTTCATGGAATCTAATAGATATCGCTTTTGCATTTTTAGCTTTTTCCACGTGACAGTCTCCTTTTTGCCAGCTGTAGCTCGTGAAACATCATCACGTTTAAAGAAAGCTTGAATCACTAGAACCAGGTTGGATTTTTCTTTATTACTCTTCTTCGTCTTATATACCCTTGCTGAATTCCTAAGCTTTCTTTTAATATTTGCGACTGATGCCTAGACTTCTTTACTTTCTCTTCATTGAATATGTCCTGGATGTATCGTTTTGCTGAATAATTTTTTTATTTTTGAGTAGTGGATTTTGATTGCACTTGACAAAACCTTATATTTATCATTATTATTATTATTATCATCATCTGAGTGTTTAGTTCTTTGGTATCTCTTTTTGTACTTCACTGCCTCCTAATTTTTTCAATTTTTTTAAGCAACTTCTGGTTTTCTCTAAATAATTTTGACCTATCGCGCCTAACCTTTCTTCGTCCCAAAACATGTGCGCGCATTGCAGGACTTAAATTTCGTGGTGTTCCAACAGGAGACGCTGGTGGCGTGTCAATGGCCATTAGTGGCTGAACTGCTTTTTGTTGCTCCCTTCTTTTTTTATTAGCCTTTTTCCATTTTTTCTTTGCGCTTCTATGTTCCCCTGGTGTCATATCTTTGACCAACTTCTTTTTCGTATGATACCTTATAAGGCCTTTCTCTCTTGTTTCTGCTTCTTTTACAGGATTTTGTTTCCTTCTCTCCCTGTATCGCCTTTGTTTTTCAGCTGGTGTTAGAGGCATATTGCTGTATTGTTTATCTAAATAAAAATTAAAATATAAACATCAGTTTGATTATTTTTAACATGGATTTTACCACTCTGTTACCTTTGCCACCACTCTGTTACTTTCTTGCGGTAACACAAGTATAGCAGTAACAGAGTTGTAAAATATTTTTCTATGACTGAGCGTTATACATATATAAATAATAACTCAAAAACTTACAAATCAGTTTTTCGAAAATTCCAACCCCGTCGAGATTTTTTCGAGGCATTTTATTTGCGTTCTTAATAACTTTTAACAACTAAACTATAAAATAAATGTCCAAAACTTAAAACACTAATAATTTATATTGGTTAATATGGGAAAAAAAATTATTTTCACGTAAAGTTACTTTTTAAAAATTAAGTCGAGATACAACTGATACAAGTTAAAACAAAAACGAACTGACTAATGAATTTAGGAATTTACTGAATTTAGATATTTCATGGCGTATGCGCCCAAAGACTGTTTATATTAACAACATAAAAATCACGTCTCAGTCAGATTATCACATTCCATATTTGGAAGTAGGTGTCAGGTTCAAAATCGTATTATTAAAATAAACAACCGAAAATACATATTAGTAAAGTTTTTAAAATATAATATATGTATGTTTCAAAAGTAAAATTGTCATTGAAATCATATTACAAAATCATATTTTCTTCCTATCCTATATTTTGCTCAATCTGGCTGTGTACACCGTACAGACTTTTTATTACTAATTCATATTTTAAAATAGTTAACCGATTAGGCCGATGTACGTATTATGTATACAAAAAATGATTTGGTCCAGCATCGAAAAGGTTCCAATGTGAGTCTACGGTACGCTCGTCAAAATGCTGACATGGCCTTACTTTCTTTTAATTATCTCTCTTATTAAAGATGAAATTATGATTTCACAATCGTTAGAACCCTTTAGTTTTTATCTAGTTATAAACAAGAATACATTTTTACGAATTTTTGCACAGTTTTTATGATATCGGCGTATATAAATAAAAAATCGGTAAAATAGGCAGTTTTTTGGACGTATCAGAGATAATTGAGTATTTATATAATTTTGTGCCATTTATGACCAAACAAATTTGAAATTTTGTTCCTAACAAGATACAGAGAAAATTTTGATTTTTTATTATTTCTCTAAAGATAATTTTTACTTTACAAACATATTAAACTTTCTATTTGAGAATAACTCGCTTTTTCCAGGACGATTTTTGGACAACCTATGCCATTTTAATCTAAAAATCAAAAACCACTATTTTGACAACTGACACAATAATTGTATCTATAAAATGTCAACGAAAATCTAAACTAAGCGATTTTGACCCTCCGCCGCTTAACAAATTTTTACGTAACAACTAGAACAGTAGATACCTCTGTGTGTATATACTTGGCAACAACGTATATTGTTCCGTCTTTGTAACATCTATATCAAGTGTTGCCCTCTTTTACTTCACGTACCAACTGTAATTAGCAATATTTTTAGTTACAGAAAACTATAATGTTTAGCGCTAGTTTTCGACAATTTTTGTGCTATCGTATCTAATCTTGTATTAGCGAAACGTAACTTTTGTAGGGTAATATAAATCTTAAAATACTTCAATTAAATCAAATAAATAGTAGATGAAAATATTTATTTCGGATTAATTCGGCCTTTAAAACTAAATTTAGTGACATTTATTAAATAATGGAAGTTAGAAAATTATGCAAGTGCAAGGGAGGGTGTTGACACATGACAGATGTCTGTATTGTAAAAATATGTTCAATTTGCAATAAAAGTCGACCTGTTTTAATGTTTTTTTTTTTTTTAAATTCCAATGATTTATGCCGAAAAACAGGATGAAACTGTTTTAAGTAACTCACTCTGTATATCAAAAATGGCTAGATTTACCGAATTAGTTGATAAAAATGCATTTTTTTAAATATGCGCTACACAAGAAAGTTCCTCCCATCGAAAAAAAAATTATTGAGCGCAGCGCCATCTACATATTGACCTATTTAAAATCAATTAATATCTAAAACTGAAGCTCTCTTAGTGCTCTGTCAACTGGCTTTTACAGAATTAAAATATCTCTATTTTTTACCAAAATATCTGGCCTGAGAATTTTTATTGATACACCCTAAGTATACGAGTCCCTTTGTTATGCCGAAAGAGAAAAAATATATTCACAATTCACATCCAACTATACAATTTTTTGTATGGTTTATTGCTATATGGATAGTCTAATATTGTTATTTGGCCATTTGTACAACAAAAAATCGATTGAAATGATTTAATTCATATTTTTTTATGGTCGAAACGTTTTCATGATTTTAAATTAAGTGCCGGCGGGCCCAAAATAGTCACGTACAGTGTGTTTCAAAGCGTCTGCAAGCTTTCTGTAAAATTTCAATAGTAATATCCGCCGTTCATGTTTCATGGTATATTACCTTAAGTTCTAAATTTCTTCCTCTCATTCTGTAGATTTTAAATTTTTTGACCTTTCACTTTATTCGTAAAATAGTCTAATAAAATTGAATTTATCTTATAAGTCGGTCTTTTCTTTCTAAACTCAACTGACTTTTTAGAAATAAATCGATAGGCTTATCCCGAAAATACAATCACTTGTGGTATGACTACTGAACATCGCTACTAACAAATTGAATATCACAACATGCCTTGAATGACGTAAGTTTGCAAACTTTCGAAAGCGAAGTATAATTGTAAAAACGCTTACCCACCTGAAGAAAAGAGTATTTAAAATAGAGTATTGCATTAAAGTAGTGTCAGTAAATATTTTCTTATTTTATTTTTTTGCGACACATTGCTTATAAAAAAGTAATTAAAAATATATAATTGTATTTGTAGTAATTGAAAAAGCTTTAAAATAAAAAATTAATCAACCTACCCTTCCATTAAAAAAGAACAGTTGGGATGTCTGTCAGATAATTAAAAAACAAACCTTTGAAATATGCCCCATTGGAAATAAAAATGTTTCAGGAATTTTGGAGAAACCTTTATTTTATTTATTAAGATTACAGAATCTGTTCCATTTAGACTTTCCACACTGTATTATATTTCGTTCTTGGCAGCTATTACCTAATTTTTGGTTATTAATTAATAATTTATAATTTTAGGAGTCTATGAGTATGTACCACTTGAATCTGGAGATGGAATGAAATTACAAATAAATGCACAAAACTGTATACACTGTAAAACCTGCGATATCAAAGATCCTAAACAGAATATTAATTGGGTTGTTCCAGAAGGAGGCGGAGGACCAGCTTACAATGGAATGTAAACAGCCAAAAACCTAAAATAATATTTAGTAATTCAAATCTAAAAATGACACCAAAAGACCAATTAAAAAAAGGTAGCTGTTATTAAATCGATAATTTTTATATACTAATACAAAAAACTACTTTAAAAGAGACATCTATAAGTATACCAATGGATTAATAAAATTTATTAAGTGTTCCAAAAAATATTTTATATCAGAAGTATATTACTAATTGTGGATTTTATTTGTTGCACTAGGTGTATGTTTTCTGCATTAATCGCATTTGATTTGTTCAATGTAGCTTCAAATATTTGACACATACTTGAGTATAGCATATTCTTCTGACAAGAATGACAGTTCGAGTGTGACACTAGTGACATAAATAAAATCTGTTATAAATGATATTTTATTTTGTGCAAACGTAATTTTCTACTATTTGCATTTTAAAACGTATATAATATTTTTTATATTTGTATATTTGTAGAGAAATTATTATGAAATGTGAATTGTAAATAAAAAATTTATTCAAATAAATATTTATTTTGTATAATTATTATTATTCTTATTACACACATTTTTGTACATTTATTATAGCATCCATCGCATTACTATGTCCGTATATCGGACGCAATAAAGTCACACACGTTTTTTCTTGACTTTTAGAGTGAATTTCAAGATCCTAATATGATAGAAGTAATCCTTAAATTCTCGTACAAATGTTTTATTTAAATACTATGTTTTTTAATTCAGCAAAGTAAGGGTAGAAGCCTGCAATATTTATACGAGTCTATATATATATATATTTCTACACTTTACAAATAATATGCTGACATTATGATAAACCGGCAACATTACAATCTTCTTGATTTCTACTGACCTTGCTATTTATTGTTTTGTTAGACTAGTTATTTGTAAGTTGGATCTTTTAAGATATTGTTTCATCCGACAGCTGGTTAAATTGTGCACGACAACAATAGAAGTTTGTGCAAGGGTTGATATATGGACAATCCACTCGAATTTTACAGTAAGTACCTATATTATTTCTATGACCCACAAAATATAGAATATTTTAAAAATCGAATTTAGATGTTATTAATATAAAGTATAATGCAGGCGACCTGGCAAAACCTCCTATCTGATATTTGACAAACTTTACAGGAATCACAAAAAACTTTGCTACTGCTCTTAAAGGAATATTTTGCTACTTTTTTGTTTAAAAGTGCATTTGGACTATTTTCTTTGTTATATTTAAAAATTGTTTGTACAATATAGTTCTTACATAAACATATTCGCTCCGTGCGAATTCATGGAAAGGGAAGCAAAAGCGATACTAGCGCTAGCTGCGGATAATTCGTGCATTTTAGGGCGATATTTTGTAATTTTAATATCAAATACACGTATACATTTTACTTTTTTTTTTTTTTTTTTTTTCAAAAAAGTAGGTAAAAACAACACAATAAGCAACCGGAGTTGCTGTGTTGAAAATTGTACAAATACTAGCAAAATAACAGTGAAACTTATATAAAAAATTTCACTAGCAAAGTGGAAATTAAATCAAAGAAATAAATGGATAGGTGTAAAATAAGAAGAACAATTACCTTTATTTTTGTGATAATAACAGTAATGCTGGAAATAGTAGACATCAGAAACCTGAAAGGTTTTAAATAAACAATAAATTATCATTTTACGATGTTCTTTAATATCCCTTTATTCTTAAATGTTCATTCAGCAAGGACTAGATTTCTGATTTATATGTTGCTGGAATGCAATTTTGTGACTTACTGATGGGAAACCAGTTTTAATCATTCATTCTGTTTTCTTTCGAACAAAAATGAAAATATAAATAACGATCCTTTTTTATACATTTTAACTTCACGCTTATTAAATAGTATTTTTTTATTTTGACAGAATAGGATAATTCTTCAATGACAACTTATTAGACTTAGGCAACTTCTCATACATTTTCCAGTAAATACTGTTGCCTGCCTATATTTTATTATTAATTTTTATTGATTATACATAATTTTCTTTAATTTAAGCGTGAAAAATATATAATAACAATAAATTAATGTTTTACTTGTTTTACATATCCATATACTTTTATTAAAACTAACATATATACTTTTTATTTACGAATTCTATTAAAAATTGTATTTGTCAGTATAGGCAGAAATAGTCCTTTAATACTAAAACAAATTGGCACTGCTGTCGCGCACGGAGCGAATAGGTCAGATAGGAGATATTGACATTGATAAAATAACTAAAGGGAGTTTTTGCATCGCTTTTTTTCGTATAGGATAAATTGAAGTAGGCAAATTAATTCGTATTAAAATAATTTCAAAATAGCTTTATTAAAATAAACGAATATTTTTAAACCCCATCTTTGCTTGGGATTATATAAAAAAAAAATAACTGATAATATTAGAGAAATCAAAAAGTTGTTCTAAGTTTAAGTACTACAATAATAGTAATTAATGTTAGAAACTAATCAAAAAGCAGATTGTCGTAAAAATAATGCGTATCTTTTGGTAATACCGATTTAAGATCCTGAAGGTGGTTCTATTTATCTCTTTTAATTTTACATTGGGTTTTTAAAAGTTGTGGGTAGTCATTTATTGGGTCCAAAATCTTTGGTCTTACAGGCAGATCAATATAGTCACTATCGCAGTCTAACTTCAACTGAATTTTCCCGTTGGGGATGTACTTCATACATTTAATATCATTGACGACGGGATCATTGGTCTTTTTACCTGGGCGTATCGAAGAATATCGATGAAATTTGGAATCAGAAAAGTTTTTGAAAAAGTTGTAGTCTAAAATTTGTACATCATAGGGTTTAGGATTTAATCTTGATTCTTTAGTAACGGAAGGATAATCACTTGGTAAATGTATTTCACGATGACGTAGTTTTCTCTCTATTGTGCTATGAACCGAGTCACACTCCATTTGAGTGTGACCCGGCTCTAAATACTTCTGGTATACAAATATTTGATGTTTGATGGAAAAGTTTAAAATAGCATTGGACAAAATATTGTTTCTATTCTGAAAGCCGCAACCATCAGAATAGATAATAATGGGCAACTTGTCAAACAATTTTTCTCCAAGGAGTCTATTATGCAAGAAGTAAACGTAGAGGCTTGTAGCCGATTGTTTTGGTTCTCGGAAAACCAGTAGCAAGTTACATCACAAGTGGCCAAATTGTATAAAGTAAAATTGTGACAACACAGTTTGTTTTAAAATAGATTTTTCCAGCTGGCAATAATGGCGCTAGTTTGACTGCCTTTAAGTCCATTGTTAATGCCACAATTTTCTCCTTTTCAGCTAATTCTTTGTCGGTTGTCTTGCCTTCCTAGCCTTTTCTTTATTGGCTACATGAATTTTCCACTTTTTTTCAGTTTAATTTTTATATTTATACGAAAAACATGTGTTGCACTGGTCTTTTTTTGCCGGAAAAGTGAGAGATTTTTTTCGTGAAAGACTTTGTTAAATATATTTCTACTCATTGAAGGACGCACCTGTTCTTTGCAATATTCTTGATACACTTTGTACAAATCACTTAGCGTTTGAAAAGAAGTCTCTAAGTATAACTTTAACGTATCCTTGCGGCAGTAATGTGCGGGTAATTTTGGCAATTGTTGAAAGAAATTATTTAGATGTTGATACCCTTCCACGAAACAAGTTTTGACGTAGTTTTTTTACATGAGATTTTGCTGCCATACCGTAAGAGCTTTTATTCACCCATTCTTGCACAGTTTTGTAGCCAATATTTAGCGTAATAATAAACATCGTGCGGCATACTTGAAGTTTTTCTTCTCCGTTATTCAAAAAGTTAACAAAAGTCCCGTCTTCTAGAAGTTTCACTTGACGTCCTTGCAACATTGTTTTCTAATACGTGAGAAGAAACAAAAATGTTTCGTTGCTCCCAATTACTTTCTTTCCAAAATTTCTTAAAAATCTTTTGTCTGCATTCCTCACTAAATTGTGAACAAAATCTTTTCTTAGAATTTTTGCATACTGGTGAATTACAGACTGGCTTTAGCGATCTTGCCCAGCGTTGGCAGTTTTGCTTAATTTTACCTTCTTTTTTAAACCCCAAGTATGCTTTTCCTTCCAGCCGCAGTTTTTTGTTTTTCATTCGAGTCCAATTCTTTTCGTCTGCCTTTTTCTTTCTTTTTCTTCCTATATTAACATTTTCGTCTTCAATGAATTGGTTCTCTAATGTATTTGTCACATCGTTTTCGCTTTCTGTATCCGACTTACTGTTTGCTGGTTGTTTATAAGAAGTATCACTATTGTTTCCATTTTCTTCGTCACTTGGTAACTCTATGGGTTCTAAAGTATTTGAAATGGTTAATATTTCTAATTGGGTGTGATTTATATTAGGATTATCGTCGTTTATTATATCTAAACAGTCTTTAAAAGAATCCCTGTCCAACTCACTAGTGTTGATTTCAGTGACTAATCAGTCTTCAATATCATTTAGATTATTAACATCCATCACAATATGTTCTAGAGATGTAGAAGGTAGATTTGGTATACAGTTTTCTAAATTATCACATTTTAAATTGTTCGTTAGGTTTGTATTACTCAGTAGACGGTCTTCAAATACTAAAGACCTCGTTTGTGTCTGCAGTGATTACAGGTATATTGTTAATATCAAATTGATAGATATCTCTTGTTTGCTGTTCCATGGAATAGTTTCCATTAGAAGGAGAATTATAATTTTTAGTTGAATTCAGCATGGCAATAATTTTTTCCCTCTGGAAGACATGATTCAAAATCTCCTATACGACTTTTTTTATGCGGCTGCAAAATCTTCTATCTGAAATAAAATAGAAACGTAAGTTAAAATAGATCAACCTACAATCCTGTTTGAAATATATATAATGAAATAAAAATGATCTATACCTAATAAAACATGCATTTGTCAAAAAATATTAAATAAAACTTACCGTTTTTTACATAAAAATAATAAAAACAAAGCACGTGTAGCCGTCTTGACATGCATCGTGTGACTGAGTATTGACGAAGTAAAGGATAGGAGATTTTGCATGCCGCGACAGGTTGGGTTTCTAATGGGATAATTTGAAATAACAGTTTAACGATTTTGCGATTTTTTTGAGCTATAGGATAATTTATCTTAACATGCGCATGGCCTAGTAGAATGCAAAAACAGTAATAGCTCATTTTCGGTAAAAATTGCAGATAGGAGTTTTTGCCAGGTCGCCCGCGATATATAGGCATTACTGCCAACTAAAGTGGAGATTGGAGGGGTCCAAAGTGCATATAAAAAAAAGTTTAAATAGGCGCCAGATACATTTGCCTCCTAGAAAAAAAACCTATTTTAATCCACTTCCAAATTTATAAAATAGATGAGGGGTGAAATGAGATCCGTACGTATGATAAAAGATGCATTTAAATGTATAAGCCAATACACAAATCTGTAGTGGTAATAGCAATAGCACTAAGGAAAAATACATATAAAGCTAAGGAAGTAACTACAATCTAAATAAACAATGTAATATTTGCAAATGGCTAATATAACC